GGGTCGGGGGTTCAGTCATGTGTCTGGATGGATTCGCTCCCGCTTGTCTATCGCCCTCGCGCGTGCGACTAGCTTCTGTCTGCGTGGGGGAGGGAGGGGAGGGTTTGCGGGACTGGGGTGTGCTGATGGGGCGGGGATTGATCCCTCCTCCCCTTGAGCCTGTTTGAGTCTGCGTGCTGATGGGACTGTATTTGTATGAGTATCACGGACACACAGACGAGTGTTACGGTTAATGACAGTTTCCCTTCGTGAATGCATTCATTCATTCACAAGATCTGGATCTAATCGTCAGACACACACTTGCGCTGGTCGTCAGACATCCACACCTCCCTCCTATCTGGTCAGACATCCACACGTCCTATCTGCCGCTGGCAGTGGTGGATGTCGAGACAGACGAGGGGTTGGACGACAGCTCATTCATCTCTATCACGTCGCACTCTAGCGGCGCCAGGCCGAACGTGTCGAGCACCTCCTTCATCACAAAGAACGTCCCACACACTATCAGCACGTCATTGTCAGCCGCTGCGGCCAGCAATGCCGCAGACAGATGGTCGGAGAGGGAGGGAGGCGTGGACAGATGGGGCGCAGTGTCGGCCGACGAGCCGCCGACAGTGTCGCCTTCTCGGTTGGTGCCCTTAGTGATGGTCTGGGCGAGGTGGTGCATGTTGGCGCCTTCCAGCAAAAGCGGCAGCAACCTGCACATACCGAGGGCCACGATGCAGCACCCAATGTGGATGTTGAATGACTGACTTGTGTGGTTGTGTTGTGAAAGCGCATGTCCTCACCCACCTACCTTTGTGTGATTGCTGGGTCTCCCGACGCTCTGCAGTCGTCGACCAGTGCCTGGAACATCTTGGCGCGCGGATGGTTCGGCTGAAGATAATGCACACCCTGCAGACAGGACAGACACCACACACACATCCGCATTCATGCACTCATTTATCCATCGACAGACAGATCTGTGCACTGCACTCCGAACGAACCTTGAGCGAAGAGCTGCTTCCGTCTCCCTCTGGGTTGCTCAAGACCTCCAGCAGCGGCAGCAGTACACTGGGGCTCCTCTCCTTGGACAGGCACACCGCCACCCGCACCCCCTTGCCCCCACACCTCTGCTTGACCCCGTCGCACAGCCGCTCCAGGGCCGTCTTGTTGTGCGCCACGTCCAGCACCACAGCCACGGGCAGCCGCAGCTTCTGGCTGCCCTTCTCGCCCCAGTGGTCGTTCTCGAGTGACGGAGGGATGGAGCCCTGGGGCAGGGCGGTGAGGGTCCCCTTGGCGACGCTGCCGCCGTTCTCCTCGATGTGCGTCTGTGCGTCGTCGGCGATCTGCCGACAGGTGGCTGAGAGGGAGGCGATGGGGTGGGGAGTCAGGTGGGAGGCCGCATGGTGAATCGCCACCTGCAAGCATCGATACATGCATGACACACACCACAACCACACACACAGAGGTGTTGCATTCTCATTCTCGGTGATGTGACAGTGATTCCTCTTGTCCCTCATGTCATGCGCACATCTCTCACCTCGATATGTTCCCTGTCCAGGAACTGCAGCCGGAGTGGCGGCAGGTGGTGAACGCCATCGTTGATGGCCTTCTCGAGCAAGTCAAGACCAAGCATACGCAGCGCACGCCTGCACGGCAAGGACGACAGACAACAACACAAACACACGACACGCCACCAGACAGATTCCTTTCCTTCTTCATCGATCCCGGGCCCCCTCTATCTGTGATATATCGATCACTGACTGACTGACTGACTGACTCAGCAGTTCGCTGGTTCTCGTCGTCAAACGACTCGTGCTCAGGGCCCTTCTCCACGCATTCGAGTGGGCTGCCCAGCTGCCGCGCCCTCTCATGTATGCCGCTGAACACGGCCGCCTGCGGCCCCAGCAGCACCGGCCGGCCCTCCTTGATGATGCCCGCCTTCTCCATGGCTATCTTCTCGAGAGTGTCGCCCAGGATGGCCATGTGGTCCCACCCTATGGAGCTGATGACACACAGCTCCGGCAGCAGGATGTTGGTGGCGTCCAGCCGGCCGCCCAGACCCGTCTCGATGACGGCCCACTCCACCTGCTTGGCCGCGAAATGCGAGAAGGCCATCTGGGTGCAGATCTCGAAGAACGTCACATCGAGCGCGGCCTCCTTGGCCTTGCTGAAGATGTCCTCTGCCAGAGCCACCACCTCAGCCTCAGAGATCATCTGCCCGTTGACTCGGATCCGCTCTCGGAAGGTGCACACGTGGGGCGAGGTGAAGAGGCCGACACGGTAGCCGGACAGCTGCAGGGCACTGGCAAGCTTGACGGCTGTGGAGCCCTTGCCGTTGGTGCCGGCGATGTGCACGGCCTTGAAGCGCATCTGGGGGTCGCCCATGAGTGCGGCGAGTTTGCGGCCGTTGACCACGCCCATCTTGATGGCGTGAGTCGCAAAGAGCCGCCTCAGACAGGCTGAGTAAGGGGCGGATGCTGCTGTCATCGGCTCACTCATTCACACCTTCGCAGATGTATAGATGGCAGATCAACGGGCAATCGGGGACCGAACGGGGAGGAGAAAAGCTCTGCGAGCTTGAAGGGCCTCTGCGAGCACATGAGGAATTTTCTTTCTCCGCGTTTCGGAGTCTTTCTTCTCCCCCGACGTTCAGCCTCTGCTTGCTCCGTCGTCATGAAGACGTCCCACGCATAGATCTGCGTCGACTGATCCATCGGCAGCCAGCAGGCCAGCGCAGCGGCCGCCCAGCCGGTGTGTGTGTGCTGCACTCGCAGCTGTCTCAGCCAACACAACGGCAAGTGGTCAAGGAGGTGGACGGGAGTGCTCCAGGAGTGAGTGAGTGAAGTCTCGGCGCTGCGCTCCGGTGTATAGGTGCTGGTGGTGCGAGGAAGGAGGTTTTGGTGGGCATATTGGGAGTGAGGGCGGACGGGAGTGCTGTGGCGGCGGTGGTGTGGCGGTACATTGATGTGCATTTGAGAAGGGCGGGCGAAAGGGAGGCGCTGTCTGTCACTGTATAGACCGACGACAACGCAAACGCATGTTCTTTGCTTGAGCAGCATCCTTCCCCTCAGACCGACCTGCCATCTATCCATCCATCCGTTGCTCGTCTCTTCACTTACTCACTCACTCGGTTAATTCTTTGCTTACCTGCCTGGTTGGCTGGCTGACTGACTGCATGGTGTAAAGGTCCGCTTGTCGTGTGACTGACGGTCTGACTGCCTTGCTTGTACACCAGCTACTTGTCTCTCTCCCCTCTCGTGTGCTGCCTGCCTGCCTGCCTGCCTGCCTGCCAGACAGATCACATCCCGTCACTCACTCACTCCTTGGGCGTTTTGTGTGGCCTTGGCTGGTGTGGCTGGTGTCAATCAATTCAGAGGTCATACACATACACACACACACATCCCTTTCGACAGTGTCGGTCGGGGACACTCACTCACTCACTCACTCACTCACTGAGAGGGGGAACATCTGTACAGACAGACTTACTATCCATCCGACTTGACTGACTGACTGAGTGAGCTGTACTGACTTGTTGCGTTGTATTTGTGTTGTTCTCTCTTGTCCGGCCACACGCGCGACACACACACATCACTCGACAATCGACTGATCACATATCTGGTGAGTGGAGGAGGGGAGGGAAACACAGACGGCTCTCGCACACGATTCTCATGCTCTCTCTCTCTCTCTGTATGTGTGTGTGTGTGTGTGTGTGCAGGTCGGTCGCATCGCATCCATCGTTGGTTCCACCAGCCATCATGGCGTGGGCTCCCCAGCATTACACTGATGCATCAGGTGCGGAAGGAACACACACACAGACCAACACGTATGCACAGCACCTCTTGCTTGTATTCATGTGTGCTTTGATGTGATGTCAGGCAAGTCCCCCCTTGCCCCCGGTCCCCCCCACCCCTCCCCCCTCTCCCCCTCAATGCTCAGCGACCAGGCGGCCCTCTTCCAGAAGCTCCTCAAACAATCCACACCGCCCACCATCGACCCTGGACAGCCAGCGCCGCCGTACACCGCCTCGCCCATGGCCATGGACACGCCCATGCCCATGTACCAGCAGCAACAGGGTGGCAACATGACGCCCCACCACCACCACCACCACCATCAGCAGCAGCACCAGCAGCCACCCCCCGGCCACACCCACCACAAGCCCTTCCTCATGCAGCCCCCGGCTGCCACCGGCGGCATGATGGCCTTCCCCGTGGAGGGTTCGGGTGTGTACGTGCCTCCTCCCCTGCCCTATGTCCCGCTGGACAGCTTCACCCTGGAGCAGATCGAGAGGGTCTGGAGCGACCTCAACAACCTCCCATACACACTCGACCCCCGCAGCTTCGAGCACAGGGCCGTGGAGGTGCTGCGCGGCCATGTCGACGAGGTCAGCGGCAGGCTGCCCTATGTCGTCAAGGTGGTGGTGCTTGGCGCCATGGCGGTGCGCTACTCTCACCTCAACGTGGAGGCGCTGGCGGGCGAGGCGGCCGCCATTATCGACAGAGAGTTCAAGGTGCGTCTGATGATGCTCATGCCATGCGCAAGCCATACACGCGCGTGTGGATATCAATACCACGCCTGTGCGTGTCGCTTGGTGTGTGCAGGTTGACGCGTCCCAGGCGGCAGTGATGATCCCCCTGGACGATGTGGTCGACTTCTACGAGAGCGGCCCGCTCGCTCTCGAGACGTGCGACGACTGCGCCCGGCTGCGCAACTTCCCCTACCACGGCCTGAGACGCCTTCGACACGACGTGGGCGAGTGGTACCGCCAGCTCTCGCGCGACATCCGGCTGGGCCTGCATCTCATCCTCGTGAGACGGTGCTTCCTCTGCGGCATCGTGGCACTCTGGGGGCGTCTCTCGACCGACGGCCTGGCGTCACCCAGCTACGCCCCGCTGCTCATGAACACCATCCTGATCAACCGCAACGAGAGCAGAGGCTCCCGGCTGCTGTGCGCCAGCTACCGGAAGGAGCACGACAAGGGCGGGCCGTCCGAGACCACCATGGACGGCAAGATGCGCGTGCGATTCAAGATCTGCTGGGCGGCGGCTTCGGGCCAGTTCGTGTCTCGTGTTTGGATCCCCATCGGGCACGTGCCCCTATGGATGGTCATCCGGGCGACGCGCGCCATCGCGTACACGGTGGGCAACCCCGAGACGCCCTGCCTCAACCTCCCCAGCCCGCCGCAGCTGGACCCTGCCAAGGAGGCCAAGAACTGGTACGTCATGAACCTGGAGAAGGGCAAGGAGGTCTTCACGTTCAACCACGCCGTCACCACCTACACACACCACCCAGCACTCGGACCTGACGACACACCCGCACCCAGCGGCAGCGAGAAGCGGTCGTCCCGCGGTGTGAGGGGGGATCAGGCGGCCGGCAAGAAGCCGCTCATGAGCCCCTCGCACAAGACGACGGGCAGCTCTCAATCGCAGCACGACAGCAGCAGCCCCGCAGGCAGCCCGGCAAGCACGGTGGGTCCGGTCTTCCCCCCTCCCGGCTTCACACCCACCCCCACAGCCACCACGCCGCAGGCCGACATCTGGGGTGGGCAGGGGGCCCCCTCCCCGTCGAGCCTGCAGCTGCCGTCCGCCAACCAGCAGACGGCCGCCATCTGGGCGGCCCCCAGCCCGACCGATCGCAGTGTGGGGATGGTCACGCCGTCGCCCAAGGCCAGCCCTCCCAGCGGCAGTGGGTGCGACACCTTCTACAGCCTCTACTCGTCGGGCAGTGTCGGCTTCCCCGTGCCACCCGAGTCAAGTCCGAGTGATGAGGGGTGGGGCGGCGGCACAGGCATCCACCGCCCTCCCGTGATGGACCCGCGCGGCTGCGTGTCGAGCGAGAGCCTGGCGAGCCGCCACAGCCCGGCCCCGGGCAGTGTGGGCAACCCCATTCGACTCAACCTGGCCGACCACATGAGTCCCACCAACCGACTCGAGTGCGGCACGCCGTACCACCAAAGCACCGACAGTGGCAGTGGGGATGGGGGGGTGTCGGGGCGGAGCTTCATGTCGCCAACCAGCGGCGCCGTCCTGGAAGAGGTCAGTGGAGTGCGAGGCAGGCGGAGAGAGAAAGAACAGAGAGAGCCGTAGCACTGGATGGTGTCTATGTGTGTGTGTTGTTTAGGCTGTGGGCTATCTGGATCAGCGGCTGCATGGCATCATGGACTCAGGCAACAGACCACATGGCACTGACGTAAGTCGGCACACACACCACACGGACACAGACAGCAGCATGGTGGCCGTACGGCAATCCACCGTGTGCCATCAATCAGAGCGGCGACGCATTGCTGGCTGAGGCGGTGTCGCCTGGCCGCTGCGACGGCTCCACATCCAACGACATGGCTGCACAAAACAAGTGAGCAACCACACTCACAGCCGCCTGGCTGTTCACCACACGTCCATGTGTGTGTGTGTGTGATGGCATCTGTGTAAGCAGGTTGGGTGAGTATGAGTTGAGGGTGGCGCAGCTGACCTCCGAGTGTGCTTCCAAGGACTGGACCATCAAGCAGCTGCAGAGGACTGTCGACGAGCTCACCAAGGACGGCAGCAGCAAACAGATCACACAGCAACACTCTACACACAAGTGGAGGTACGTGTGTCCATCACAGCCAACCGACGCAGCCAGCCATATCGGTGTTCCTTTGTTTCTTCCATCCACCACACTGCAGCCGTCAGGTCAAGGGCGAGGATGACGACAAGGGCACCCCGAGCAGCAGCACTACCGACACCGCATCACACGACCGCGGCTGCTGTGACCCCGACACGCACATCGACCACCTCTCTCTCGGACACTTCTCGCTCCCCTCACAAGCTCACGCCCACACACAACAGGAGGAAGGCGCCATCTCGGCCCTCAACCAGGACCTGGCCGCCAAAACCGAGCGCGTCAAAACACTGGAGGAACAGATCAACAAGCTCACACACAGGTGAGCGACCATTCCCCACCCCCACACACACGTGTGTGTCGTGTGTCCATCCATCCATCCATCCATCAATCCATCAATTTATCCATTTATCCATCAGGTTTTCGGTGTGTCGTGTGGGCTCTATGTCGCTCAACGACCTGTTTGTGTTCCTGGAGGACCTGACCGAGGAGCAGACCCGCCTGCAGGGCGTGCAGACGGCGGTGTTTCAGTGCATCGAGCAGCTGCGCGAGTCGATGAAGCGCCAGATGGACGCCGAGCAGTCGGCTGCACACAGGAGCCAGGCGCCCAGCACCTCCAGCAGCCCGTCAGCCATCTCGCCCTCGCCGCGCGGGCGTGCGGATGCGCCATGAAGGAGGAGGGAAGGGGGTGGGGCTGGTTTTAATCCTGCCTTAGCTTCGCCCGGTGGTTGCAGCATCGCATCATCCGCTCATCCATATGCACACGGTGTCTCTGGATACCTACCGTACACCACCCACCCCGGCCATCCATTCACTGCATGGCATCCATTGCATGTACCCACACACCCACACGCACGTGCAGTGCAAACGCCCTTTTCTCTCCGTCCAGCCACCACATCCCATTCAGTCATTACACTGCAGTCATGCATTCCATAGGGAGAGGGCAGAGCGGACTGACTGACGTGACTCCTTTTTGGGCGGGATGCCTGAATGGCTGGGTGGGGGGCGGGTGGCTGCTTTGACAGGCCGGACGGGGGAGGGGGGGATTGGGTGACGGAGGGAGGGAGGGAGGGGTGGTGGCTGATGCGTGAGGGCATGGATGGATGGACGGTTTTGCTTTTTGTGTGCGGGGCGGGTGGGTGGGGTGAGGGTGCGTGTGGTGGTGATTGTACATAGTTAGTGAACTGACTAGCTGCCATACCTTCTTGCCTTCTTTCCCTCCTCTCTGTCTGTGTGTCTGTCTGCCTCAATGCAGTGAGCCAGCCACAGAGTGAATGGATCGCACGCAATACCATCATCATACCGTCGGTGGTCTCTTGCTCCCTTGTTTGCTCACAAGCGGAATTTACTCAAGCAAGTGTCTGTGTGTGTGTACGTGTGTGAAGGCTGTGTGTCTATCTATGCATGGGCGCTGATGTATCCATCATGTGTGTTTTTTTGTTTCGTGTGTTTGTAAGTAGGTATGTATGTGTGTTTGTCAGTCACGGCGGGCGGGCGGGCGGTTGGGAGGGCGGCTGACTGTCATTTCTCGATTCGATTTTAGTCGACAGCCCAGCTCGTCCACCTGCCATCCCTCCCTCCCTGTTTGGTGTCTCATGGGTGGGAGAGAGAGAGAGAGTGGACTGAACGACACGACACAGACAGAGAGGTCATCAATCCGTCAGGCGCGCGATTTTTCGCTATTCTCAGAGGAAACAGAGAGCCATCATGATCACCTCTCTCTCACACACGGGGGAGGTGACACGGTTGGGTGCATGTCCATTGTCCATGTCTATGTATACGAACGATGTGTGTGTGTATATCTAACCGGTGCCTGGATGGCATACCGCTGCCAAGCCGACTGACTGACTGGCTGACTGCCGTCCTTGACACCCAACCCCAATCAGCTGGCTGCAATTACAGAGATGCTGCGTACGTGTGTGTCTGCTGTCTGCCTCTGCGTGTGTGTTGCGTGGGCCACGTACTGGTGTGTGTGAGTACAAACCGTATTTGTGAGGGCACCCAGCCCACCTATATAGACACAGAGAGAGGGAGAAGAGAGGAGAGGGCAGCGAGGGGATCCGTGCACAGACAGGAGACTCATTGTCTGCCCCGGCGCTAGCCAGACAGACCAACGCTGCAGCCATGCACGGGGTGGGAGAGAGCGGTGAGGGCAGGGAGGGAGGGGGGCTGTATAGTCTGGGGGTCGGTTGGGCGAGGGAGGAGGGATGGTGGTCTGTATATGCTGCTGCTACCGCTGCTGCTGCCGAGAGGCTGCTGAGCGAGAGAGGGAGAGGGGGAGAGGGGGGTAGGGGGAGGGGGAGAAGAGGGATGGCTGTCTGGCTGGTCGGAGGCATCATCGGCATTCACACGCATCTGTCTCCACGATCATACAAGCCTGTCTGCCTGCCTGCCTGCCTGTGTGTGCCTTTTTTTGTTATGTACTTCAGTAAGGTTTTCATGGCCACGTTGCGCACCACTCATCCATCTCCTCTCTCAACAGAAAGGTGTGTGCATCATGGGAAAGTGAGAATGCCTGCTGGCTGGGCTGGCGTCATTCATTGGTGTCCTGCGGCGTCCGGCGCGTAGGAGGCATGTGTCGGTGTTGGCGCCACAGCCAACAATGACATGTTCCTCCTCTTCGTCGTACGAGGAAGGACATCACTGACTGACCTCAAAGTGACCTCTGCAGCCAGCTGCAACCATGAGCGCAGCATCGTTCGTCGTCTTCTATTTTCGGGTGTGTGTCTTTCCGCGATGTTCGTCACGTTTCGATAGCATGTGCCGTGCCGCATCGTGTTGTAGCCTGGTCGTTGGGAAGGTTCGCACTCTGACGCGGGCGCAGCGTGGGAGTGCGAGCCTCTGCCGACGGTCGGATACGACAGATGTGTGCATGTGCCACTCGGCCGGTCTTCTTAAGGCCTGCCTGCCTGTTGACCGTCATATACATCGCATTGCAATCATCGCAGTGGACATTCATCCCACACGTCATACACACACACACCACCGGATTGCTCACATCTCATTCATCTCTTGACTTGTTTGACTTACTGGCTGGCTGGCTGACTGATGACGGTGCCTCCCTCTTTGCTCCACATGTCGATGTGTGTTTGTGTTTTTTCTCCCCCTCTCGCTTTGCTGAGTCCTTGCTGCGTGCCGTGCCGTGCTGACTTGGTGATGCCATCCATGCCCATCGGGGGGCACGGGTCAGGCAATCCACTCATCGCATCGCATTTCGTCCACACGCAGACGGACAGACGTGTCTACGAGCTTTTCTCTTCCTATGCCTTCGTCCCCCCCTCTCTCTGCTGACCGATTGGTTCACCTGTTATAGCCCCCATCCCATCCACCGACGCACACACAGATAGGTATACACACCTGCCTGCAGTCAGTGCAGGGGGTGAGCGGTATGGCATCCTATCTTGCTGGCCGCTTCACGGATGCCTGCATACCAGCCCGTGTACAGCTGCGCTGGCTTCTCGTGAATGGTGTGTGTGATTCCTGCCTGCCTGCCTGCCTGCCTGCCTGCCTGCCGCATACCACCTGTGTGGAGGTGTCTGTGTGGTGTGAGTGCCGAGGAGCCAGCAAGGGATGGGTGGCGACGGTGGTCGGTTCGGTTCGGTTGTCTTTCAAGTCAGTTGGTCGACGGCGAGAGCGTCGCGTGGTCATTTGTTGCGTATACGTACGTGTGCACACATACACACATGACATCATCTCTCTGTGGTCCCCCGAATATTGGTCCCCCTGGGCCATGCATGGACTCGGTGATACATACGGTATCTTCTGTTTGTCCGGCTGGCTGGCTGAGTGGTGGTTGCATGTGCGGATTGTGTGGACGGTATGTCTGCCTGGCTGTTGTCAATTCATTCACACATTTGCTCGTGATCCTTATGGCATACCGACGACATCCACCAGCAAACATCCATCCTGATCCATCCACCCGATTGATGCAGTCAGTCCATCTCAGCGTGCAATAAACCATGAATCAACTGCCAAGATCAGCAATGTATGTGCTGCTTCGAGGCCTCTCCATCATCCTCTGCCTCTCGGGGAAGCTCTTTTCGCTTCCCCCCTCCGAGGCTGCGAGCTTAGCCGACTCCTGAGGATGGAACAGCTGCCGCAGTGCCCCGCGACTAAGTGAATGGCCTGATCTATCTGTTGCTGCCGTCCATCCAGCTGAGCCTGCATGTCGTCATATGCCACGACTGAGCTTCAGCACAGCTCTGCTGGCCCAGAAGGATGCATCGCTCAACCCAGCAGCAGAGGAGGAGCCAGACGACGATGACCTCGACGATGAGTGGTCTTTCGCATCAAGCAGCAGCCCCACTCTGCCGCCAACCGAGTTCCCGGAGGAGGCGCAGCTCATATGCATACCCATCCCTCCCCACAACGACGACCGTCATGAAGATCAGGCGGCGACCCCTCTTGCACTCGCTGCCGGCACTGGGGATGCACAACGGCCTCTGCAAAGGTGCGACTCATGGCCTCCTATCGACAGGGTCGGCGTCAGAAGGGTGCCTCGGGCGGGCAGGGCGGATCTGTGTCTGCGGGCCGGTGTTGACGAGATGACGCAGACCGAGGACCAGCTGATGATGACCCCCCGAGGCGGCTGGTCCTCTCTGCCCTCGATGGACGACGACGTCACGCCCTCACTCTCACCTGCGTGCCGGGTGCGGCCGACGAGATGGCGTGAGGCTTTGGCGGTCATCCGGGTGCAGGGAACGGCTCTGTGTGGCGCCGTGTTGGTGTTTCTGGTCCACTACCTGGTGGTCGGGGTGCAGCTGACACATGAGAGCTTGATGGAGGTCAACAAGATACCACACACCATCCCGACCTTCGTCTGGTCGGGCACGGTAAGCAACGAGGGAGGGAGAGAGGGAGTGGTCAACACGGATGCTATCCACCTCACCTGGGCCTCTCTCTGTGTCTGTCTGTGTGCAGGTGTATACGTTGTCTGTGTCTGTGTCGATAGTGGCGTTTTCGATGATTCTGAACCGTGTGCCTGGCGTGAACCCCACCAAGCGCGGGAGGCTGGTCGTCCACATTGGCGGCCTCATACACATACTCGTCATCGTGCTCGTCCAGGTCGCCGACTATGTGTCGCGCTGGCACGGCGTCGTGTTTGAGAAGTACACTGGGGACATGGTTTGGTCCATGCGGTTCTATGTCACCTGGTTTGTGTGGATTGGGTTTGTGAGCAAGTACTGGAGTCCCATTGAGTTCCCCTACAACGCCTTCATCAACTTGACCATCGATGCCCTCGGCGTGTACCTGTGCATCGAGGTGCTGGTGCCCTACGCACTGGGCTATAAGGGATGGTACTTTTTGCTCTTTCGCCTGGCGATATTCGTGTGCGGTGAGGTCTTCTACGTCCTCGTGCGGTGGACAGCCCTGATGATGGTCCATATCCGGCCGTCGGACAGGCACATCTTCTATGCGCCCGTTGTGGCCTATGTGATGCTCGTCACACGAGTCCTGCAAGGCACCCTGACTGATCCACTGTACGCACGGATGCAGCCGAGCGCACATGCACGGACGATCTTGATGGATGGATGGATGGGTGCAGGCTGGGCGTCTTGGGGGAGCTGGCGGCATTGGTGTTCGAGCTCAGTAGGTCACCTCACCTGCACACACAAAGGAAGGAAGATCAGATCGCATCCATCCATCCATGTGTCCATCCGACCTCTTCTCGTCCATGCAGTTGACTTCAAATTCTGCTACCGGATGGACACGGGCCACGCACACAAGCTCAACGTGGTCAGCTCCATGGCGCTATACGCACAACGACCCACAACACACGGAACATGGCACACGCCATCTGTTGTCAGATACTCTCTCTCTCTCTCTGTGTGCGTGGCTGGTAGATATGGAAGTGGTGCCAGAGGAGGGTTCGGCAGGTTTGGGGGTTCGTGCGTGGGGTGGCCCCGCCAGACGACGTGGGCGACATGGCTTTGTGGCACCTGATGCACACGGAGGAGGCAAAGGTGTTCTACGAGATGGTCCCGCTCTCACACATTCTTTCCGAGACTTATGCTGTCTGCCTCGCGCCCATGATCCTCCTCTACTACGGCATTGGCAGCGACCAGGTAGCCACCCTTCACAACCACACACACACACACACTCTGTCTGACTGTTTGTGTGGCAGGGAGAGTTCAGCACGTCGACGATCCTGACCCAGGCGACGATTCAGATCCTCGGTGAGCTCGTGGGCGACCTCATCTTTGCGGCGCTCCCCGGCGGACTCGGCATCTCACTGCCGGGCATGGTGGGGCCATGGAAGAAGCTCAAGTCACTCTGCTCATGCTCATCAACAGCCGATCGGAGCCGGCAGCAGCAGCAGCAGCAAGGAGGAGGAGATGTGCAGTCGCCCGACCTCGAGAGGATGGGCAGCGGTGTCGACAAGCAGCCGGAGAGTCTGTTCTCATCGACATCGTCGATGGGACTGTCTCAGGCGTGGAAGATGCGCTTCCGGTTCCACTTTTCCACCTGGTTTGGCCTGGTGCTGTGTCTGTCAGTGCACTTCACGTACCTCTTGGTAAATTATCTCAGCCACTGCCTCAACACGACAGAGGACGGCGTCTTCGTGACACGGTGGCTGTGCGACGACTACTTCGACTGGGGATCGGACCTTTCACTGGATTGGACACAGAAGGGCCGCGGTGGCGGTGCTTGATGGAGAGATGGATGGATGGATGGATGGATCCATTGATTGCGTGAGGGAGGGAGGCGTCCATTAGTGTCTTACACTTAGTGAGTGAGTGCATACGGGCGAATTATCTATGGCTGGGAGGCTGGGTGCATTCGTCGCGACCGATGCCCATGGGCGAGGGGGGGAGGGGAGGGCAGAGGGAGAGGGAGCAAGGGAGAGGCGCCTTGATTAACGGCCGCCAGCCTTTTTGAGGAGAGACTCACCCACGTGGCTGAGGGGCTGTCAGTCAGTCAGGGTGAGCATTCATTCGTACGTACATTCATTGCCTGCCTGATCGGATCCTCTCTGAGCGTGCGTGTGCGTCTCTGCCTGCCTGCCTGCCTGCCTGTTTCCCACCGCCTGCCTTTTTTGGTCAGTCAGGTGCGCACCCGCATCTGTGCACTTTCCTTAACTAGCTGCCTTTCTGAGTTCCCTCCTCCCACTTTCTCCAGGAAACCTGCGTTGAGTGTTTTGTGACCCGACAGCCAGCCGAGTGGCGGACAGACAGACATTCGTCCGCTCATACCCTCATACGTATGGACGGGCGATAGATACCTTTCATCTGTCTCATTTGACTGACACGTAGGGGAGGGAGGGGAGATTCGACAAAGCGTTTGTGTGAGGGTGAGTGTGTGGATGTAGTAGTCTGTGTGGGGGCAGACTCTGCTCGTTTTTGGGGTTTGCACAGCGTGGGCGAATCGGCGCACGGTTGAGTGAGAGTATTTAAGGAGACCCTGGGAAGAAATATCGAATTTATACGCACGTACGCACGGTCTCTCGAATGAGTCCAGATTGCCCGAGAGAGAGAGAGAGAGAGAGAGGTAGAGTCAGTCAAGTCAGTCAGTCAGTCAGTCTGCACACTGCTTCCTTCTGTATGCAGCCGGCCATCCATCCATCCCATCTGTCCGCCATGTACAACCACTCGCTCCACTCTCACACAATGAATCCATCCATCCATCAAAAAGAAAAAACGGCCCCTCCCTAGGTGTGGCTGTCGCCCGTCCGCCGCTCCAACCCTCCCTCCGTGTGGTGACGTGTGTAGCATGGCGTGGCGTGACCCGCTTCGCTTCATCTACACTCCTGCAGATAGAGCATCCATCAACACACGAGCGGCCGCCTTTCTTCTTTGTTGTCCTCTGTCGATGTATCAGTCACATCTGTCATCACATCATCTGGTCTTCTCGCCTCGGTTGGCCCGACCGTCAAATCTGGTCGTGAAGAACGAGTGGCGGAGGGCCTCGGTGGCCGCGGGGCGACGGGCGGGGTCGATCTGCAACAAGTAACGCACGAACTCGGCAAAACCGCGATGCTGCGGCTCAACCAACTCCTGATCAAAGCAACCGAAATGCACAGATGGACAGACAGACGCACACGCACATGCGATGATGGATAGGTGTGTGTTGTTGTGTTGGTTTGGTCAGCCAGTGCCTGCCTGACCTCGATGTCACAGCATCGCTGCACAGCACGCCTCGACGAAGGGGAAGCGTTCTCGGGCCTGAGGGAGGGAAGGACACAGACAGGGTGCCGCCCGCCGGATGATGAGATGAAAACTGTTGTGTGTCTGTCTGGTGTGTCTGGTGCTGCCTGGTCTGACCATGAGAATCGTCCGTTTTTGATGTACTTGCTGCCCGTCGTCTGCTGTGCCCGCTGCAGCATGTGGGAAGGGAAACGACCCAACACCTTCTCCTGAGACGACAGAAAGAATAAGCCCGTCGATTGTCTGCCCCTCGTTCCTGTGTGGGGGGTGGGTGGCCCCGTCGCGTCGCCTGTGTGTGCGTACCGTACCATCATGGCTAGGTGCTCGCGGTTCTCGTGAGTCCCGAACAACAAACTCCCAGTATACTGCACACACACACACACCCCGATGATATCGCTGTGTGTGTCTCTGCCTCTCTCTCTGGTTGCCTGCGTGGCGTGGCTGACCAGCTCGATGAGTATGCAGCCGATGGACCAGATGTCGCTGGACATACTCCACCCGAGATCTAAATGCCACCAGTGAGTGTAGTGGGTGGTTTCTCAGTCAGTGAGAATGATGTATGCGGCCTCGCTCGTCGAGACCGCCTGTTTGTGTCTTTGTCTTGTTAGTCAGTCAGCCCGCACCGCACGCACCTAGAATCACTTCGGGCGCCCGATATTGCCGCGTGTTGATCACCGCAGAGTGGTGGTCGTGCTCGTACGTCGCACCGCCGAAATCAATGACTACACACACATCATACACAACGACACACACAAGCAAACAGCGACATAATTCCAAACAAGCAACATACTGGCCATTCATTCCTGTCCGTCCTGTTCTCTCTGTCTGTCATCCTTACTCTTGACGTCAGTCCGCGATGGTCGCTTGTATGAGGCAGACGAAGTCGGGTCCTGCAAAGACAGGGAGGAATCAGCGGCGTCGAAGGCGATGGGGGGGGCGACCGACACAGCAAGAGGGGGGAGAAGGGGGGCCGGGAGGGAGGGGCCGCAGGCAGAAGTGGTCGTGAGTGGCGGGGCGGCCAAGCGGACAAAAGGGCACCAGAATGGCAGTGGGAGGCTGCCTTGACTGACTCACTGGACACATACCCTGGGGAAGGTCGTCGAGTAGGAATTGCTACTGACCAACAAGATGTTCTCAGGCTACATCACAGTACATGACATTGCACAGACAGACAGACAGAGAGCGAATGAGTCCATACCATGTCATGTGTGTGGAGCTTTCCATCTTTCTGTCAGTGAGTCATGTGGGAGTGGGTGTGTCCACCTCCCGAAGGCACCCACCTTGAGGTCTGTGTGTGTGATGTTGAGTGCGTGCAGGAAGGCGAGTGCCTGCAGACACTGCCTGGCGAAGCACTGGACGTCCTCCATGTAGAACCCCCTGTAGTTGTTCTTCTTCAAGAAGTCGTAGAGCGACGGCCCCAGCCGCTCAAACACCAGACACATGTGCTCGCCGGTGGGTGTGTCGTCCTTGTCGCCCCCGTGGCGGTGCCTGCCCCCTCTCTCTCCTCTGTCTCCTCTGGCACTGGCATTGCCCTGATGATACCCACTGGATTGGTGCGTGAGTCGCCTCGTGTGGTACGTGAACGTGTGCAGCAGCTGCACGCAGTTGGACCGACGCTGAGGGTCCGCCCCACGGATGTCCTGCAAAATGTCGGCCTCGATCTGGGCGGCCTCGTTGTAACGCTCGATGTCACGAACGACCTGACACAACACAGCGATGGATGGATGGATAGACAATCACATCGGGGGCTGAGTGAGGGAGCTTGTGCGGTTTTTGTGTGGGTGAGTGTGAGTGCTGACCTTGACCGCCACGCTTCTCCCTGTGTCTTCATCACGACACTCGAGTACGCGCCCGAAGGTGCCGTCGCCCATGAGGCCCTCAACACGGTACCGCCCGTTGTCCAGACGCATGCCAACATACCTGAGTGACAACAACCGACACACACGCCACACCACACCACACGCGTGCACACAACACATCGCCTCGCCCAGCCCTCTTATCGATCGATGCAGTGACCTGATCTCCCACCCCTCCCACCAGTCAAAGTGTATGATGTCGTCGTCCTTCCTGTCGTCCTCGGCCTCCTGGTGGCTCTCGTCCTCCAGGTGGTCGTCAACGCTCCAGCTCTCATCCCGACTCCGGTGCCGATCCCTCCTCTGGCCACCACCGACGTGCCCCCGACCGTACCCGTCGTACCGGTCGCGGGGCGAACGGGAGCGACCACGACGACCACGGGAGTCCTGCACCCATATATACACATGACATGTGACGCGACGTGGGATGGTTGCGTGTCGGTTGTGTGTCGTGTGCCCAGCTTACCTTCCTGCGCCTGTTGTGTCTGTCGTCTCTGACGGCCCTGTCGTAGTAGATGCGATAGTAGTCCTCCCCATAGGCACGGCGGAGGGCGCGGTCCTGCTCGTAGTCGGCCTCGTCGAACGGCCGACGGCGCTCGCGAGAACGGTCCCCATGAGGCCGGTGCTGAGGAATGATGTGTGTGGGAGTGTCTGTGGAATGGCATTGCGTGGGTGGTCTAGACATCTCACCGAGACGTGGCCGTTGACTTGCGGCCGGTAGTCGTCCTCCCGCGGCCGGCGGCTCCGCTCCCTCACACGACTCCGACTCCTGGACCGGTAACGGCCCCTCCGGCTGTCGTCTGGCCCACTCATGACGATGGGCGACGTGTCCTCGCGAGTGTCACGGAAAAAGTCCTTCCTGCTCGACTCGGTGTACTCTCGCATCACCGGGTGGGGGGCAAACTCGCGAAACAAGCCGCGAGACACGTTACCGTCAACCGACCCGTCACTTCACTCGCAGCACACCATCCGACAACTACACCTGTACACACACAGCCAGCCAACAGCGGATTTGGACACGAACAGACACATGGGAAGCCATCAACCGCCGGGATGGCCATCCCACCCCCTCCGGCTTCCTTGTCGTTGTGCACCCTCCCGCCCTTCTCACCCAAAAGAGGTTGACTTCAAGCGCACCAAAGCGATGTCAGACGCGCTTCCGTGCGTCGTTCCAGTCCTCTGCTCTTTCCTTCTTGTGTCAGCAAAAGTTGCACTGTTAGGGCAGGAGTGAAACTTCCATGCAAGCTGTCGTGGAAGACAGGATAGCGCCGTGAGGACAGGGCAGAGGCGGCGGAGCTAAGCCAGGCGGAATGGCTGATTTCGCTTCGTTTCTTGATCACGACTTCAAGAAGGCGCACCCTCACCCCTTCACCTCGGTCCGCGTCGGCAGTGACGTCGATGAGGGGTCCAAGCGCATGGCGTACCAGTTCCAAGCGGTAAGCAGGGGAGCAGGGGGCTGTCCGATAAGATTAACTGCACTTGAAGGACTTCTTCCTTCTGTTTGCGTGTGTCACGATTCGATTTCAGTGCTATCCGTCGTCGAATACGAGCCAGTTGATGTGGCAGGACTCTTCTGGTGTGCGGAGGGACGGCATGAATCAGGCCGTCATGTCTGAAATTGCCACGGCGTTCCTGCAAAACCAGAAGTCGCCCATCGTGATTCAGAACAACACCGAGACCTCCGCCGAGAGCAAGAGCGACAAGAAGGAGCCGAAGCGCAAGAACAAGAAGCCGTGGCTCGACCTGAGCAACCGCTTCACCCAGCTGGTGCTGCTCATCGGCATCACGGCGGCCGTCCTGCTGGTGCGCGAGCACCTGGCCCATCAGCGGCGGATGGACGAGATGCAGCGGCGCATCGACGGCAACCCGCTGCTCAAGGGCATGAGCATGCTCGCCAAGGCCATACCCAAGTAGCTGTCAGTGGGGCTGTGGGGCTGTTTGGCTGGCGTCTTTTTTCTTTCGTTGATGAGGGCGGGAGGTGGGAGTGGCAGCGGATGCAAATGGTTGGTTGGCCTACTTGCTGCTCATCGAAACTTTCTTGTTGTGATGTGGGATGGATGGTGGAGCAGTGAGTTGTCGATAGTTGAATGACCGACTCGCCTCGCGCACACTCGGCGCACATCAATTCAGACATTCATTCACGTGTGACAGACTTGGTTCAACACAGCGAGCCACACATGGATGTGTCATGCTCACACACACCATCGATCACACACGTAAACGCCCTTCCACACCCAGGAACTCTCACTCTGAACCCGTCGGCCTGCCTGAGGACTCAATAAGGCATTCGTTCACCTTTGCGACGCACATAAGCACTCACAAAAACGGGAACATACCCACGCGTACACGGCTGATGAATGCTCTGGGACTGGCCTGCCCCTCGCACACACCGCCTCGCCATCGGTCGGCACACACATGTTTCAATGTTTCAATCAGACTCGCAAAAAACGGCCAGAGAATGATGGCACACCTGCCTGTCATACTCATCGCTGAGTGCGTGGCTCACGGCCGGCCCCAACAGGAGGCGAAAAAACCGGCTGTCTCGTCTGGTCACCCCTCGGCATAAGACCAGGCATACACACCTACACACACACGTGCAAACATACATGTACACGTATTGCCCAATCGGCCTCACACGCTTGCCTGCTTGTGCGGAAGTTGCTCAGTCAGCACCTATCCGTGTACTCCAGCCAATAGCGGCCGCACGAGTGGCGCCTGGCCCCTGTCAGTTCCCTGATCGATCGACAGAGAAACAAACCCGTGATCGAAAGGATGCAATTAAGGCCATACGGGACCCGCCGTGTGAACCTACGCGCCCTCGCAAGGGTCCTTGAGATCGCACAAGGCTCCCTGTTCGAAGGCGTGGATCTGTGCCATGAAGTCAGCGCCAGTGATGCCCTTGGACTGAGCAATCCCAGACAGACAGACAGACAGACAGACATACGTGGCAGTTGGTTGCCTAGCCTGCCTCCCGGTGTATGTGTCTGCCGACGTACCGGGTCAGATGCTACGATGGCCAGTGTGAGCGGCACATTTTCCTCAAACTCATCGGGCTCGACACGTTCCGGCGGGTAGCACGTCTCGAAGTCGCCTGATTCAACCATCCAATCAGCAACGTATGTTTGTATCCGCACACAGCGCACAATCAATGCCAACACGGATGGATGGATGGACACACACACACGGACACACACATGGACCGCTCACCTGCGTCTTCCTGATGGTTGAGGAGTGAATACGCGTTGGAGACGATGATGGACGGGAAGGGGTACAGGACCTCCTCCATCCGCCCGTGGTGCCCCTGCTTCTCCTCCGCCGTGATGTCGGCAAGCTCGTCTGCCCTTGGCAAATAGTCTCGGCTGCACAAGCCGAGGTTAATCAAGTCCGGCTCGTTGCTACGCTGCGCCTTTTTGACCTCCTTGAGCACCTTCTGTGGCGCAGGGACACACACATCATGTGGCGTACGTACGTAGATCTGCTGTTCGTATGCATGTGGCCACGTGCATAGACCTACCTTAAGGCGAGCCTCATAGTTGACCTTGCCCTTCTGCCGGGGCACTGCTGATGCTGACATTGTTGGTTAGCGTGGGGGGTCGCACGAACGAACCCTTTTTCGTGCGAGCTGAGTCGCGACTCTTTGCTCCAGAATTGAGGTCGGTTTGCAAAGACTGAGACTGTGTCATCGTTCTATCCTCCGACTGTACACCGGTCATGTATGTAATCTTCCAGCTATCAGCTATCCATCAAACAGCCAGCCAGCCGCCGCCCAGCATCATTCATTCACCTCATCCACCGCACTGCTGGCCGGGCAGTCTACATGGATATCTGTCTAAGTCTATCTATAGCTCCTTGACGATCTTGTGCAGCTCTGCGGCCCAGTCGCGGAGCGACGCAGTCATGCGCACACTCTCGGTCTTGCTCTTGGACACATGCTGCAAATATCTGCACACAGGCATGACACACACCAGAGAGACAGACAGGCAGTGCAAAAGGTGTGCGTCAATATTGGTGAGAGTGCCCGCCCACCTTGTGCACAGTGGGAATGCGATGATGAGGTCCATCCAGTGTGCGGCGTCCCAGTGGGTCAGCGCCCAGCGGCCCTGCCGGGCCAGGTCACGGCCACACAGGCCCTCCTCCCCGTCCCCCGCCATCGCATTTTTATTGGGGTCCGAGGGGTGGGGCGGCACCACACCCACCACACCCAGGTCCACCAACTCACGCAGACTACTAAGGAACTTCTGCAGGGAAGGGAGTGAACGACGCCAATACGGACATGTCATGTGCACATGGCCGGCCCTCCTTGCCCTGTTCACACTGCTCACCCACCCACCGGGTGGACTTTGTTAGGGTGTTGTTGCTCTCCGTCGATGAAGGGCATGAACTCGCTGTGCACCCTCACGTAGACGTCATCGCCGGACCTCTCGCGGCACACCCTGCTGAAGATGAAGATGGCCTTGGCGAGGGTCTTCTCGGCCACCTCTTGGGCGTACAGCTGGGCCAGACACAGCAGCACAAAGTGCTCGCATCTCCCCAGCTGCACCAGGTAACGCTCCACCGCTCGGAACTGATCAAACGGCCCGCCCTGAATGAAGGACACACAAGACAACACCATACATGACGGCCATCAGTGTGTGGTGCGCTGTGGAGGCTCGTCACCATGACGGCGTCCGATGGCATGATTTGCTTGTACTCAGCTGCGCCCGGGCCGCCCTGCTGGCTACTACTGGAGGCCGAGGCCACTGCGCCACTGCACACACACGCGCGCACACACATGATCACACACATGCTTACACAGGCTGATGGGTGCAGTCGTGTGTTGCTGCGTGTTCTGTCTGACCTTCTCTGCGAGTCTTGGAGCATTCGCAGTTTGGTCACTTTGTTGGCCAGTTTGGCGCCCCGCCGTCTGCCGTCGATGAATTCGACTACGTGGGAGAGGTACCACCCCATGCCGACCTCAGCCAAACACCAACGAGCAAAAGTACGCTGACATACACACACAACATACGATGAGTAATGGGATAGTGGATGGATGGACAGCTACCAACCGGCTTCTCCCTCCTGTGTGTGTCTGTTCTGTGTACCTGCAGGCCTTTGTCCTCGAGTGCGTTGCTGACGTCCTGCCGCAGCTCGTCAGCTGCCCGATCGCTGTCCAGGTCAGCCATGGTCACGTCCAGCTCCCCCTCCCCCCGCCCACACCCCTTGTCGATGGCGTGCATCAGCACCGCCCTCACGCCAGCCGTGGCCGCCTCGGCTGTGCCTGGGAGGCCGAAGTGGATGACCTCGGGTGCGGCCCAACGGGAGGTGAGCCGCTTCTCGAGCAGTTGGTTGACGGCGAAGTCTCTGCTGGTGGCCACCATCAGGGGGGCGATGGCGGCGTGGTGTGAGAGGTCGAGAAGGGTGTAGAGGAAGTTCTGGCCGCCGCTGCCGAAGCCGGCAAGGCACAGGTGGTCCAGGTTCTCCACTACGATCACCACCTTCATCCGCAAGCACGATATGATCTCGAGGAGCTCCTTCAGCTCCCGCTTCAAGTCGACCACCGACATGCCGTCCAGCCGTGTGTGGGGCGGCGGCAGACGCGACGCCAACTCGCTCAACAGGCACTTGAGCGCCGCCGAGTGCAGATGCTCGTCACCCACCGTCGTGCCGGCGGTCAGGGCAGCACCATCCACAAACACAGGCGTCACCGGCCGCTCCTGCAGCTCAGACGCCATCTCGCACGCCGTGCACACTGCTGAGCTCTTGCCGCTGCCGGCAGGACCGATCAGCAGGGCAACCACGCCGCTTCGATGCCTCAGTCGGGTGGTGGCGAGATGCGCACCTTGGGGCGAGGCCTCTATCGGAACCGCCCTGATGGATCCGACAGCCTCGCGCAAGTGCCGAATGGACATTGTGGGCCTGGATGCTGATGCCGATGGCCGCAAACACGCGCCGGCTGAAGGCAGATCAGGCAGGGAAAATGACAATGGTTCTGTGGCGCTTTTCCTTCATTTTTTCGATCCCTTACACACCTGCGGAGAAGGGATAAGCTACAAATGTCTACTCTTCACGTTTTGTTGTTCTTCACTCAGGTCGACTAGTATTGTGCCGGCCGCCTTCGGCGGCCGTGGATCCCGAGGAGCTCAAGCTGGAGCGGGCAAAGTAGTAAGGTTGACAACGCCACCTCGGCGTACGTCTTTATAGGTTCTGCAACAGAAGCCTGAAGCCGCTCGGTTGGGGTTTAGGGTTTGAATGTCCCATTGCCCCAGATCTTGATCGAATTGCACTATGCTCGCGAGATACTGTGCCGCGCGACTCGAGAAGCGCACCATTCGAACCACCAGCGGGCGCTTGACATCGCCATGAAGCCAAAAAGGGAAACCCTAAATGTGTACCTTTAGGGTTTCCTCCGTCGTTAGCTAGTGGGGAGATCAAAAACCGTTGAAAACAAACGGCGGGCCAAAAAAAAGGGCCTCGATGATGTCCGCGACGGCGTGCACAAGCGGCGGCAGGAAGCAGGATTGCCGGCGGCCGTACTACACACCGATACGTCTGATCCCGAATCGAGAGCGCCTCGTCCGCACTGCAATAGATGTGGGAACACCAACTTTAGATGTGAGCAATTTAGATGAGAGGATCCGTGTATGGATCTGTACTTTGTGGCTGCAGGTCGTCGACGACAGGGGGCTGCTTGGAGGAATCTCGCCGTGTCGTACATGAATCGACTTTGGTGGCTGAATCGATGGTTGACACGCATCATACTCACACAGATGAGGCCAGTCAGGTCACACCACCGCATCCACATACACATTACACACACACACACACACACACACAACCGTCGACTCAACTCACTCCCCCCCGCCCCCTCCCTCTGCCTCGCCGCCCTCCTTTCCAACACAGTCTGAGCCCTCTTTCTCTCCCTGATGCCCTGTCATCTCATCAGTCAGGCCGCCCGTGGCCGCAACAAGAGACCCCCTCTCCTCCTCTCTATCTCGCCTGTCCGTCGGGGGAGCTGGGGTCGTGATGTTGCTCTCCTTGCCCAGACGAACAGGCTGCACCGCAGGGCTGCTATCCCGGCTCTCACCACGTGCATCGACAGCCACAGCTGCTGCGTCACGTGCTGGCGGTGCGGCAGATCCTCGAAGCTGCAACACCCTATCTGACGGCCGGGGGCGAAGATCAGGGGGACGGTCAGCTCTCGGCGGGCTCAGGAGGGGAGGATAGCGAGCCACCGAAATCGGCCCTCGATCTTTCTGGCCGCCCCTCGGGGTGAGGATGTCCGTCGGTATTCGCGGGGGAGGCCGAGAGCGTGTGTGTGTGGATGGCTGCTGGTGCTGGTGTGTGTAGGTGTCCAGCTGCCGTCTTGGAATAAGCTGTGGTGGGCTGGGGGGCGAGGGCACGTCAGAGAGGCCGTCCGTCCTCGCCAGTGGACCACCGCCGACAGATGATGCTCCGTACCCCCCTCGTGCAGGTGACGGCCGGTCACGCCGCACATACAGCCGAGATGCGTAACCACTCGTGGGCTGTGGTGATGGCGATGGTGATGGTGACGGTGGTGGCGGTGGTCGGGACGATATGGCCACCATGGCCGCTCGCCTGCTGCTGACGTCCTCCGCCCTCCTCCTTGTCTGCTGCTGCCCAGTGAGCTCGTCCAGCATGGCTGATGCTTTTGAGAGAGACACCGGCAGCCGGGGGGGCGAGCGATAGTGATGCCGAACGGGGAACGGTATGGCAGTGGGGGATGGGTGGTCGGGGGATCGCCTCACTGATGCTGCCGCTGCTGCTGCTGCCGGTGGTGGCGGTGGCATCTTTCTCAGGATGCCACCCCTATGGGGCTCCTCCACTCCCCACCGTGACCGCCTCGCCAGCACAAAGGCCCGCCACCGATGCGCCACCCATTGCGCCAGCCGCACCTCTCGAGCGCTCCTCTGTTGGTGCACCGCACACTGTCTGCCGAGGTCGGCCTGCTGCTGCCTGTCGTATGCCGTGAGCATCATGTGGACGGCGTCGCGCTGCAGCCGCTGCGTGAAGATTTGCTTGGCCACCGCACGGTCCGTGTCGGTCTGCTGCCGGTGCAGGTGGTAGGCGTGCCATGCGCGGAAGGCGCGGCAAGAGAGGGTGCGCGCCCAGTGCTGGAGAGCCGTGCACTTGCGGAAGCGGGCCTCGTACCTCCGGAGCATCACCTCTGCACACACACAGAGGGAGAATAAATGTCGGGTGGTCCGTGGTGTGGTGCATGTGGGCTTGGGTACCTACCGTTCCATGCGTTGAAGACAAGCATGCATCTGCCGCGGTCGATCTGGTCAGTGGCGGATGTCTGCCGTCGCCTCTTGGCTGCTTTGCGATCCGAATACGCTCGCCACTCACGCACACACGACCTGCATCATTCGGTTAACCGATGACACACACGCAGAGAGAGAGAGCGAGCGTCTTGTGTCTGTGTTGTTGCCACCTACTTCATGAGCTGGTGCTTGCGATGCTGATCTGCCCGATGCTTGCGGGACCGCCGCACACGGCGGTAGGCTGACGAATGACAGACACAAAAGCCAACCACCATCGATGTGGGCTGGGAGACTGTCTGAGTGGATGGATGGGTGGGCAGACTTCTGACCTATCCACTGGTGTGCCCACTTGTGCCAGACAGCGCCGAGGAGGCGCATGTCGGCCCCCTGCTCCATCAGACGAACACCCACCTGACGTACACACAGAAAAGGTGTAAAGCACAATGGATTGACCCGCTCCCCCCTCTCTCTCTGCATTTGATTCGTTCGTTGGTCGGTCACCTCTCGGCTGCGATTGATGTCCATGCACTCCTGTGTGAGCGCCCTCCAAGAGGTGAAGACACGCCTCACCGCATGACGACCGGAATTGGCTAAGCCAGCTACCACCCTGGCAGACCACGAAAGGCGAGAAACACGTGTGCAGACAGACAGAGCGTGTGTCTGCCCTCTGTCTGAGCGTACTGTACTTGTGTCTGTCAGTGCATCTACGAGTCCAGAGTCTCTTCCACCTCTCAAGCCACAGCAGCCGCCAGAAGGCGTCGGCCTGCCGCGCCATAAGGTGCTTTCTGCGATAGACCGGCATCGCCGCCGCCCACGCCTAAATGCACACAGGTACACACACGGAGAGAGAAAAGTCTGTGCATATGTGGTGTGTGGGTGTCAGTCATGTGTTTGTGTGAGGCACCTTGACAGCAGTGCGCATCAGCCGCTGTGCTGCGTGGTGGATGGACGCCCTGATTACGCAGACACAGAGATACAGACAGATACACACACATGGGTATGGTATATCTCTCTGTGTCTGATTGATCTGTCTGTCTGTCTGGATGGATGGATGGATGGATCCGTGTGGGGTGAGTGGGCATATAAATCGATGGGGGGATAGTTGTGTTGTGCGCTCACTGACTTTCTCCTGTCGAATACTTGGTTGCGTGACTCGACGGCAGCGGTGAGTGCGGCGAAGGCCGCCCGCTGGAGCCGCAATAGATAATGCTCCACACTCATCACCCTGACAGACACCGAATCAAGCATACACACACATACACACACACATGATAACAAAGGCGATCCTCCCTCCTGCACTCCAACGGCTCACCGTTGGTGTCTTCTCAGTGTGCGCTCTTGCGCATGGCTGCAGCCGGTGCAGACAGACAGACAGCATCGGGAGCCATGTGCAGCGATGGATGGACGTGATGAATACGCCACGCCCCTCTCTCTCTCACTAGCGCATCCCACGTACGTCATGAGTTTGCGCATGCCTCTGAGGAGTGCGTGTCTTCGCCTCAGCATCATCCCGGCATGTGCACGGCGGCACAGCAACACATACGCCCGCCACGACGAGAGCGCAGACATCCTGAAAACACAAAACACACACACATGCGTACCCCCACACACACAAGGTGCGGACAGACAGACAGACAGACAGGCGCTCGCGTAGTGACAGACTGGCTGACCTGAGTGCGGTGGCCCGTCTGTGCAGTATGGCGACAGTGATCTGTCTGTAGTGCAGCCGCATCCCCAAGTGCACCGCCCACGCGCGGAACGATGACGACAGCTCACGATGCCGCCGCTCGCCACCAAGTGCGGCATACCGCACCATCAGTGACCGCCACCAACACAGAGCCGTGAAGGCTCGACGGAGCAGACCTGGGGAAACAAACACCACAGAGAGGCTATGTACGTTGCGCTGCTGAGATGGATATCCCTCCCTACGCATTGCACCTCTCGCAGTGCGGTGTATGAGTACGGTGAACGCCTGGGTGAGGCGGTCCCGCTGGTCACGCGCCTCATACACCCTGACAGACAGACACAGGGAGGGACACAGGGAAGTGAGGTGACGTGATGCCGCACGCTCAAGGAAGGCTGGCCGTTACGGCCCAGATTCCGACCTGCATAGCATACCTGTGCTCCCATCTCCTCATAGCGACCGACAGCTGCAGGCACCTTGCCGCAGCAGACACCCTCTCATCCTCATAGGTGCGATACGCCTGCACTCAACACACCATTACAAAGAAAGCACCACTGAGTACACACAACCACATCCACCCATCCCATTCCCCCTCACTCACCAGCAGTGCCCCTCTCCATCTCTCCCAGTACCGACGCAGAGGAAACTGACGCAACAGGGCTGTCCGACAAGCACGTCGGTGCAGCCGCATCATGACGGTCCGCAGGGCCAGCCGCCTCCTCTCGATGTCGGCCGTCTGCAGCATGCCATTGGCCGATAGACGGCGATGCAGACGGCGCAGAAATCGGTGCTGCAGCAGACACCTACAAGAAAGACAGAGGAGACTGGGTCTGGGTCGGTGTGGGTGTCTTGTTTATTTGTGTATGTGTCTGTGGGCGTACGCGCGTTGGTTGGATGCGGCGTTGAGGTATCGCTGGCCGCGGAGGCGGCGCGGGCGCAGCAACTGCATCAGTCAATCGGAGGTAGATATGGACGACACAGAGAACCATCTCTATGTATGTGTCGGACAATAGATCTGATCTGACCTTGAATCGCTTGAGGGCGCTGGCGAGGAGGATGTGCACATGGGCAAGGGCAGCCACCCGCATCATGTGTCTGCACTCGCTGCGCCGTCGGGTGCGGCACTGCAGGGTCTTGAAGCCACGAACGAGCTGACATACACACACACAGATATAGACACTCGTTTGCAGATCTATCCAGTTGTCTGTGCGTGCTACTTCTGACCATTATTCTTGGCTGCGCCATGTGTGTGAGTCTTGTCCTCTCGTGCCGACGCGCAAGCCACAGACACCAACCCAACATCGCGGTCTGACGTGATTGATGTACACGGCCACTCCACGAGTGTTTGTTGGTTGCCCCTTTTGTGTGTACGAGTGTGAGTCGCCTGTAGTACTGTCTGTGTACCTTGAGTAGCTGTCTGCTGCGCTGGCTGATGGCGATGACTGTCCGCTGTTTCATCGCACGGCGATGCCGCGACCAACTGCACACACACACACACACACGCGTGTGTGTGTAGATCTACAGTGGTGTCTGTGTGTGTGATACCTGACGGCGGTCCTCAGCCCTTCACTCAGCAGCTTCCGACGACGCAACGACTGCAGCCGCTCAACTTAACACACACACGTAACCCACATACATTGGCCCATCGATTGTCTTGTGGCTGCCTGTGTGTAGCTCACCGAAAGCCCTTTTCCTGCGTCTGGCGTCTGCATAGCTCTTGAGCTGCAGGTAGGTGCGATGCACCAGCACCCTCTCGCGACGCTCACACAGCTGGCCCGCCTGCACACTGACACACATATACACTCACACAGACACAGACACAGACACAGACAATGAGTATCTGAGTGAGAAAGGGCGCAGATGTGATCTGCGTCCTGTACCTCTGCATCTGTTGTCTTTGGTAGAGGTGCACCCACGCCCTGAAGGGCCCCGACACGTTCCTGAAGAAGTATCGCGTGTCTGCCGCCTGCATCAGACGCCTCCTTCGCCTCGTGTCGGTGATGACGTCACGCCAGGCAGCCCACGCCATTAGCAAAAGACGGGCCTCGTCCTCGGCACCCGTGTGCCGCCTACGGGTGTTGGACGGCATCACTCGCGGCAGATCTGGCCTAATCAACGAGGTCACACATTTGGCGAGCTCATGAGCGATGTAAACGACGCGTCTGAGCGGATGGCCTGCCCGTCGCTGTATCTGCACGTGTCCAAGGGCTGTAAGGCGCACACAACGGCAAACTCACTCACTGCATGGCACACTGCATTTGTGGCTCTCTTTGTCCGTTGCTATATATACAGGTGAGTTTCGTGTGTCGGTGGATGTGGCCCGGCCGGTGGGGTGTTTGAACCTGCAGGGCACCCTAGCGGCGCTCGGCTCTGAACGCGGCGATATCGACATCTGGGACCTCACCACACAAACAAAATGGAGGGTCAGAGAGAGAGAGCTTTCCCGACACGTTCGTTGGCTGCATTCTCTGTCTTTGCAGGAGTATGGGACGAGCAAGGGCGGCGTGACGGGTTTGGCCTTCCACCACACTGGCAACATTCTGTTTGTGGGGCTGGAAACCGGCGGCGTCCGCGTATACGACATCAGCCGTACGCAACGCAATACACACCATACCATTCATTGTATTCGCTTCCTTCCCCGGATGTGTGTCATGATGTGTATGTGTGTCAGACAATTGTTCGAGCATGATATCTTCTAACGACAGGGGTTCGTGCAGCCACAAGGCGGCCGTCACGTGCATCGCCGCACAGCCAAACAGCGACCTGCCCTACGTCGTGTCGGGGGGCATGGACGGCACCGTCAAGGTCATTCAGCATCTGCCTCTGTCCATCCATCCATCCATCCAGCTGCATGTGTGTATATCATTGATTGTACAGGTGTGGGATTTGGATAAGCGGACGTTGGTCCGCACATTGCGTCGCACCGGCAGCACCTCCCCCGTGCAGCACGTGCGCCTCAACAGGACCAACCAGCTCGTAGCCGGATTCCAGGACGGATACTGCTCGGTCAGACACACACACACACAGGGGTTGACCCATACACATACACACACATGAGCCCCCATCTCATATCTATTGTGTGTGCACTGCAGTGGTGGGATGTGCGTGAGGGTCGCGAGGAGCAGCTGTTCGTGGCGCACAGCCAAGCGGTCAAGTGTGTGGCCATCCACGACGAGTTCCGCATGATCGCATCGGCGGGCCAGGACAGGCTCGTCAAGCTGTTCAACTTCAACTCAAACACCACTACCGCTGAGAGATCCCACACCCACACCAGCCTCGCCGAGTGAGGGAAGTCACGCACATCCATGCCTTGTAGACATCCATCCATCCATGTGTGTGTGCAGGTCGGACTTCACTCAGTCCGAGATCAGGGCTCTTGAGTTCCTGGGCGACGGCAACTTCATCCTTGTCGGTCAGAGCAATCGCATCAAAGTCAGTGGATGAACTACCACCCCCCCCCCCG